CTCAGGTTTTTTTGGTAGTCTCACCTTTTTGAAGACGATGGGCTCCTCGTCCCACACCGGGTTGACGGCGTTGTTGTTCTGAGAGGTTTTAGTTTTCAGGGCTTTCCTCCTGGTGTCTGCAGGAAGACCGAACATGTCCGCCTCCACATACACACCCACGCGCTTCTCAGTGAGAAACTGTCCTGAAATCACCTGGATCACACAGACAAGGAGACGTTTCAATAAATACACCTAACATGTAATTGAGAGGTACAGGAATGAGTCAGACTAAAAACCCTCACATGAGTCTAGATATTTTTGTTAGAAGCCCAAAAGTAGATTTACCGCTGCTGAATCCAAAAATGGCGGTTTCTAACAAGTGTTTAGTAATGGATTTTTGATTTCTGAAAACTCTAAAGTCTAAGTTTCCAATGAGGAACTGCAGCACTTATTGCCACAACCGATTCCATTGACAAAACCAGTCATTTTAACGTGCAGATAATGGGAGTTTCTGCTTTAACTCTACCTTGATTGGCTAGTTACGTGACTTTGGTGAATCCAAACCAAAGTCACACAGGAACACAAACTAACAACTAACCTATATAGACTGTGCACCAAAAACTCCTGTGAAAAACTATTAGTTTTGGCAAAGGAGTCAGGTGGCTTTGGCGAGAGCATTTATGGATGTAACACCATTCATAAACCTACATTGATGTTGGCTTTTCCTTCAGGGTGTTTTGCTGCTTCCCTGTTCACAAAAGTGCATTGATCAGTTTCTGTGCAGCCATTACTGTGTATTTCTCCAAACTAGGGCTTGGGTTTAGATAAATACCTCAAACGACCCCACTTCAAACTCTCTGAAATCCAGAGTGGAGTACAAATACTTCGTTACTGTACTTAATTACATTTTTCTGGTATCATTACTTTACTCCACGACTTATTTTTCTGACGACTTTTTACTTTGACTTCTCACATTTTGAACACAAATACCTGTACTTTCTACTTCTTACACTTTGAACACAAATACCTGTACTTTCTACTTCTTACATGTTGAACACAATACCTGTACTTTCTACTTCTTACACTTTGAACACAAATACCTGTACTTTCTACTTCTTACACTTTGAACACAAATACCTGTACTTTCTACTTCTTACACTTTGAACACAAATACCTGTACTTTCTACTTCTTACATGTTGAACACAAATACCTGTACTTTCTACTTCTTACATGTTGAACCCAAATACCTGTACTTTCTACTTCTTACATGTTGAACACAAATACCTGTACTTTCTACTTCTTACATGTTGAACACAAATACCTGTACTTTCTACTTCTTACATGCTGAACTCAAATACCTGTACTTTCTACTTCTTACATGTTGAACACAAATACCTGTACTTTCTACTTCTTACATGTTGAACTCAAATACCTGTACTTTCTACTTCTTACATGTTGAACACAAATACCTGTACTTTCTACTTCTTACATGTTGAACTCAAATACCTGTACTTTCTACTTCTTACATGCTGAACACAAATACCTGTACTTTCTACTTCTTACATGTTGAACTCAAATACCTGTACTTTCTACTTCTTACATGTTGAACCCAAATACCTGTACTTTCTACTTCTCACATGTTGAACCCAAATACCTGTACTTTCTACTTCTACATGTTGAACCCAAATACCTGTACTTTCTACTTCTTACATGTTGAACTCAAATACCTGTACTTTCTACTTCTCACATTTTCCAAACAGCTGGTTCCTTTAGTCTGAATGTGTGTTTGGTGGCGTGATCATTATTCTTTAGAGTCATTGCGTGCCTATTGATTTGAACACGATCCGTGTATCCATCATTTCCTGCTCTTCTCTAAAGAAGAGGGACCAATGGAAACGTTGTCATGTTGCCGTTGTTCAGCATGGAAACATTCATTAGCTAACAATGACATTATTGTTCTATTCATATAAAGGGAGGTCAGGTACTCTTTAAAACAGCTGCTAGTTATGGGTACTTTTTACTGAAGTACATTTCAAAGCCCTCTTTACTTTTACTTGAGTAAAGAAGTTTAGTCAGTACTTCTACTTTTATCAGAGTATTTAAACATGTACTTCTACTTGAGTAAAGGGTGTGTGTACTTTTGCCATCTCTGTTGAACTGTCCCTTTAAAGAGGAAAGTACCTTCACAGAGAGGGTGTTAGCCACGATGCCGTCCACCGTGTTTTCTGCAAAAGGGTCGAAGTGTTTGTCCGGTCGCCTCATGAACTCCGGCTTCAGTCTGTAGCCGCTGCGACCGTTATACTCAAACATGAAGAGATTCAGCTGCATGGACAAATCTGGAACAAAAAGATAATATTAAGCTAAGTACAAACCTTTCGCAATGCGGTTAAATAAATCAGTAAAAAATAAAAGTTACAATATAATTGTATATGAGCTATCAGTCCAAAAGAGCATTGCATCCAGTAAAATACATTATTTTAGCATCCCACCCATAGCTGCTTGAATTCCGAGTTTTGATGCTTTAAATTTATGAAAATCTTGAAAATCTTAAGTCAATTGAACTTGTACTGATTTTGGATGCATTTTGGGTTGAACGAAATTAAGTGCAGTGTTTGCAATGTCCTTTCATCTTAATTTCAAGTGGTCAAATATGTATTAAGTATATTGAAGTATTGTTGATAAATTGTATAACACTGACTATTGCCCCGGCCACACGAGGACGAAAACAGTTGTTTGCGTTACTGTTTAGTGTCATATAGACCGTTCGGCCACAAGAGGACGACCGAATACGGCACTAAACGACTGCGGAAACGATAACGGGTCCCAAGGTGGATAGAACGGCATACGCAACGCTCTGGGGGGTCAAACAGCTCCGTGTGTACGCCCTATACGATCATTTTCTGATAATGATGAGGCAATAGCCCCGCCTCTTCCCACCTCTGCTGCTCACCCCCGCGTCAAAGTAAACTGCACACTGAATTCAGATTATTTATCTTTCTCTCGATATGGACATAAACGCGAGTGAAGTCTAATCTGACAGGACGGAGACACCTCTCAAACTACCTAAACTAGTTATAAATATGTTTATTTTTTTACTGTCGGCCGGGTCACTCATTACTGGATCAGCTGCTGCATGAGACGGACACTGGCGCTGTCCAAAGAGAGGGAGGAAAAAGAGAGGCTCCGTGTATTTTATTATTATATTATATAGAGTCTGTTATTCATTTGTTTTAAAGCTCAATAAATAACAAAGAAGACCTTTGACCGGCACTTTTATAATTTTGTCGGAAGATTTAAACTTTAATACACGTTTACTGGCGAAAAACTCTGCCCGGTTCCCTCGGCCCCCACCGCGGAGAATAAACAGAAGGGCAACCATGACAACCATGCTTCTTCGCTGCTTTTGTGGAGGAAGTTACAGCGCCACGTACAGGCTCCTGCATATGTACTGCAGCTTCTCCAGCGGTTGGAGCTAAACGGAGCGGTCTCGTGTGGGCAGACACTATCCGGTGAATATTGCGTGTTGACGGAAGCTTTTTTGCGATTGCGTTTGCGTTAATCCTATGCGTTTAGCCGTTTTCGTCCTCGTGTGGCCGGGGCATATGTTTTCACTACGGTTCAAGAAACCTACTTGCCCCTATAAACATTGTTATATCAATTAGTGATCAGATAACAACAATAGACTTAATTAAAGTCATGTGTAAATTAGTTGGTATATTTTCCCATATTCTCTAGCGCCCACCTGCTGCCATTTTTGCCTGAGTGTCTAGATTTAGTTGCCTGAAAATACTTTTAATTATTCAGGGAACTCTTGTTCGCAGAGGTAAGGTTAATAAATCTGGTCGTTTATTATAAGCATTCTTCTAATGTGTCTTCTTTTCTTAGGAATTACTGGACATTTTAAGCACTTTATCCCTAAACATTTAAAGTTGACCTGAGCTCCCCATTGACATCAGAACAGCAGATAGCCTATCTTCCGGCGCAGACTGAAAACTCATCTCTTTCGACTCCACTTCGAGCGATAGAACTATTAACGAAACACTTTATAAGTGAAATAAAGGGCTGGCTTATCTAAAGCCAGTTGAGTAGCACTTGAAATGTTTTAGCTCTATGAAACCTGATGTACTTATATGATTCTGTTTTCTTCAAGTTTGTATCTTGTTGGTCGAATGCACTTATTGTAAGTTGCTTTGGATAAAAGCGTCAGCTAAATGTAATGTAATGTAATGTATTATATTGGAAACATATATTATAGGGCCATACCTATACAAAACATGTCTGTGAAGTTTTTTGCTTAAAATACCAAACAGATCACCCATTAGGCGCTTTCACACCAAGTACTTTGCCGTACTTAGTTCCCAGTACTTAGTTAATCGGAACTCTTTAGTTCACACCGGAATAAGTCCCTGGGGAAGGATTAGGCAAATTAAGCCGTCACTTCTTCTTCTTCTGCTTTGGGTTTACTGGCACGGCGTATACTCCCGGCCGGAAGTCCCCGGAGTTGGGGACTGGCTTCAGTACTTTAAAAAAAAAAAAAGAGGAGGCGGAGCTAATGCTGATCAGAATTCTACCGGAGATAAAGTTAAATTCTGCTGTGATAAAACGCCATCCTGTTCTAAACCACATCAAGGATTATTTCTGAAACAGTATGGAGCTCAAATGCTTTTTCTCTTGCGGGTTTATCACAAGGCGAGTTCCTTTTTTTATTTCCTGCTTTTTAAACACATGTGCTCTACAGTACAGGTTAGCTCTGAGTGTTAGCGAGGCTTGCTAATGTAAACAAAGACGAGATTACGTCCAAAACACGTCAGGCATTGTTTCTGATAGCAACTCTCTGTGGGTCCGCCGCCGATTTGACGTCATATCGGCTCACCTATAGTCTGGTAGTTGAGAGCCACGAGTTGACAGCCGGCATTCCAGAAAAGCTGCGGCATGAAGTTAGAGGAATCCACTCTGGTTCCTTTTGGGTAGATACGACTCAACTGGGATTTATTATATCTGGGTAATTAATGTAAGGTTAACAACAATTATGTTAAGTGAGAGAAAATATTTCTAAATCCCCATCTCAGGGAAAATATTTAATTTCAAAGAACAAAATAACAGCAAGACATCTTCCAGAGCACAAACATTTAAATAATTCATAAAAAAATAATCAATATTACTACAAATGCTACCACTAAAGCGCATCAGACCAAATGTACCAATACACTAGTTTTCTACACCTCTAATATAATAATAATACAAATAAACAATAATAATAACCGTATTATTTTTGACATTATTATGATTAATACAAAATTATAAAAAAGAAAAATAATACAATAAAAAAGAAAAATAATGATAATAATACATTTTAGAACTTTTTTTATAATAATATATTTATAAGTTATAAAATATATTGTACGCTATAAATGTACAGGTTAAAAATGATCTAAGAAATTGTTTTAGGTTAATAAATACTAATAAAAAGAAAAGAGAAGGGACACAAAGCATGGAAGCGGTTGCCATGGAGCGGCGTATCCTATAGTAACTGTTGCCAAGGATACTCCACAAACTCCACCGGTGTCTTTGTGAGATGCTCCAGAGCTTTGGTCTCCACGAAGGACGACATGTGGTGACAACGAGCTGCCTCTATACACACACACACACACACACACACACACACACACACACACACACACACACACACACACACACACACACACACACACACACACACACACACACACACACACACACACACACACACACACACACACACACACACACACACACACACACACACACACACACACACACACACACACACACACACACACACACACACACACACACACACACACACACACAAATATTGTTCAGCAATTGCCTTGGTTTCATCACGATTCCCATATTCTCTTTGTAAGGGATGGGAATGTGACGTAATCAACAAGAAGTCGGTCAATTTCAGCTCTTTGATTTAAAGGGGCCATATTCTGCTCATTTTCAGGTGTATATCAGTATGTAGTAGAGGTGGGACCAAGTCATTGTTTTGCAAGTCCGAGTCAAGTCTCAAGTCTTTGCGCTCAAGTCCGAGTCAAGTCTCAAGTCTTTGCGCTCTAGTCCAAGTCAAGTCTCAAGTCAGGATGGGCAAGTTCAAGTCAAGTCCAAGTCCTAAACTTTGACAAAACGAGTCATAAACAAGTCATTATGTGCTTTTCACCAAATGTAATGACATCGATCAACAGAATAATACTTAATAATCAAACTGCTCTTTATTAGTCACATTAATAATTTAATAATCCATTTTCTCTCTGCTGGTAAAGTAACGTGTGTTTTTCTATTTTGAGAGGGATCAGTAAGGTAAGGCTACTGTGACGGTTTGATTCAGAAGGAGTTTAATTGATAAGATCCCTGATGTTGAGGTGACCAGAATATTTATTTCCACTGTGTACAACATGTTATAAGGGACCCACAATCTATCTTTATGCAAGGGATAATGTGCAGGGAGGCGGTCTCTATGGGGAAGAGAACACCTGAATCTAGATCCCTCTGCAGGTGGTACTTTAACTATATTTTGATGCTAATACTTTTGTACTTTTACTTGTAACATTTTGAATGCAGGACTTTTTATTGTAACCGAGTATTCCTACACTCTGGTACTTTTACTCAAGTACAAGATCTGAACTTCTCGCACCTCTGACAATAAATCCTGAGTGGTTACCATAGAAAACCCTGCTCTGAAGGTTATTTTCATTTTATAAATCCTGCACTCAGCTTTGCTTTCTCCAATATCATTGAAAAGCAGCCAGATGCTGCTTCTTTTTTCGGTTTTCGCTCATTTCTTGACTTTTTCCGACGCACTTGCATTTAAATCCGTCTCCCCGTCGCTCTGTGCAGCTGGCCTGTACCACTACACCTGCTGTGCCCCCCACCCTTCTTTCACATAATGGTATGATCCTAGTGTGTCCTCGCATATGATTGGCCGCATGGTGGCCCAGCTAAATAAAGTCCCGCCCCTGCCTGCAAGGATTCTCAGCAAGAGTAGGAGCGGCTGAAGAGTCTGCTCTCCCCGACGGGAGTCTTCTCTTCTAGCGGCATCTCACGATCGGCGTGTTGGAGACCTCTGAATTAAATTATCAAGTCACCTCAAGTCAGAAGGCTCGAGTCCAAGTCAAGACCCGAGTCATTAGTGTTCAAGTCCAAGTCGAGTCGCAAGTGTTTTGTGATTTTGTCAAGTCGAGTCTCAAGTCATAAAATTAGTGACTCGAGTCCACACCTCTGGTATGTAGTGTCTCTACTTTAAAGAGTCCTCTCCTGCTGATGTTCAGGTGTATATCAGTATGTACTGCATCTACTTTAAAGAGTCCTCTCCTGCTGATGTTCAGGTGTATATCAGTATGTAGTGTCTCTACTTTAAAGAGTCCTCTCCTGCTGATGTTCAGGTGTATATCAGTATGTAGTGTCTCTACTTTAAAGAGTCCTCTCCTGCTGATGTTCAGGTGTATATCAGTATGTAGTGTCTCTACTTTAAAGAGTCCTCTCCTGCTGATGTTCAGGTGTATATCAGTATGTAGTGTCTCTACTTTAAAGAGTTCTCTCCTGCTGATGTTCAGGTGTATATCAGTATGTAGTGTCTCTACTTTAAAGAGTCCTCTCCTGCTGATGTTCAGGTGTATATCAGTATGTAGTCTACTTTAAAGAGTCCTCTCCTGCTGATGTTCAGGTGTATATCAGTATGTAGTGTCTCTACATGTCTCCATGCTTTAATGTTCAAAAAGCTCTTTATTTTTCTCATACTGCCTGTGCTGCTGCACCTCTTTTCACCCTCTGTCCGAAACCAGAGCCGAGTTTGGGAATAAACTAACCATTGGTCAGCTGGCTGGCTATTTGCATGCACAAAAACCTACAGGAAAGGGAACACTCCAAAGAGCATAATAGGGACTTTTTAAAGTTATAGTATGTTTCTCTGTTGGAGAAGCGTTAGGATATTCATGCTTAAACTACACTGTGTGCATATGACAATAAAGCCTTTAAATCTTTGAATCAATGGGTTCACACAGAGAAACAGCTGCTGTGTGATAGTACATTCATATCAAAGATTATTCTCAAGGTGTGAAATGTTGATCCTCTGCAGATAGAGCTGAAGCATGACATCCAGCTTTGTGGGAGAACTGTCTTATGAATTGTGTTGCAGAGAGAAAAGTGTAAATCAACGTGTGTGTGATCAGCTTTTCTCACTCTTTGAAGCTTCGAAGGAGTTGAACTTGGTTGGCTGGACGTAGTTCACCAGCGTGGACATCTCCTCGGTGGCCACGGCCTCGCGCTCTGCTGAGCCCTGACACAGATACACAGGATAAACAAGTTAAAGAGGGACATTTCTGTTGGGAAAATACTGAATGTACTGTTTCTATATCAGAGTAGCACATGATAACAGAGGCCCTACGTAACTGTGTACATAACCAGATGTATGATTACATGGATGACGCTCATGAGACACTGTTTTAGACATATGATAGCTATGTTCCAACGATTAACATGATGACTCAGCCCCTAGGGAGATACACATATGACTGTGATGTTTATTGCTTACGCAGGCCTAAGCTAATCTGAACTAATGCCAGAATACTGCTTTGAACCGGTATACATGTGTAACCCCTAGATTCCACCGGGTCCATCTGTGCCGTGTTACGGCTAAGTGTTACCAATAAAATGCAGCAACACATCTTTGATTCATGTCGTTTATAACTGGAATATTACAATTATGATTAACTTTGTCTGTACAAAGTAGCCTGTCCAGGAAATATGCCCAACTCAACAAAAGCTGTGAGCCGGCTCGCAAGACGCTCCGCTTCTGAAACGTGCCCGGTAGGGTTTGGGTTTGACGCTATAGGAGGTCGGAACAAAACCGCGGCGCAGCCGTAACACGGCGCAGGCGGACCCGGTGGAATCCCGGGGTAACACCCTCTCTTGTATATAAGCATGTCGAGGACACTATTCGGGGAACTATTTGTCCCATGCAGCTCTGTATGTGATGACTACTTCCATTCTTGCAAGGATAATAAATACATGTATCCTGATATTGAAGCTCAAGCCGGTGACGAGTGATATTTTCCTAACAATCCATTATATTTAAATCTGTGGTTAAATGGTCTGATTGATGCATGTACTGGGGTAATGTTGGAAGTGAAGTTTCAGCAGATTGATTTGGTCCAACAAATTGTGGTCAGGAATTTTTGAACACTTAAAAAGTACAGCATTATGCATCAGCATCTGACAGAAATACAAACACAAAACAAGAGTGAACAGAATTACAATGACATTTCCACACCTCCTCAAACCTCATTGTCTTGGTATTATTAGCTTTTATGAAATATCTCAAAGTAGGGTTTTGTATAATTGATCTGTTCATTTATATCATTCAAATAAAATCTTAAACTAGGTTTTCTAAAAAGTAATTGCAAAGTAGCCCAACACTACAAACAATGATTAAAAGGTTGCTCTAGTGAAGTGACAATTTAAAAACACAAAATAATACAATCTCTACCTCATATTAATATTTTATAAATATATCAGTACCTAATTGTTTGCGTGACTTGGTCTACTGTTATCTTCTTTTTTTAAACTTTCTTTGTATTTATTTTTTATTTTGTGTAAAGGAATAATGTGCAACGAAACAGGTGAATGGATACAGAGCTATAGAGGACAGCAATGATTGGTGTATTTTTATGTAAACAAAATGATTAAAAGTAAATTATCATAGCTTGTAAGAGCTCAGACCCACTGAAAAATTTAGGACAAGAAAAAGAAAATAACATTAGACATTAAGAACAAACAACAACAAAAATAACAACAGGAAATAGCAAGTATTAACAACAACATTTACAGTACATAAAACAACAATGGCATACACAATTAACAATGAAAATCAACAATGTTTATTGACATTCAGTGAGGGCGAGCGGCCTCACTGACCTTTTTACCATCATCATCTTCATCATCATCCTCTTCCTCACTCTCAGCCTCCATCTCTGTTAAAATTAAAGTTAAACAAGTCTTCATCCTCATCGACTCTTCATCCACTGTTCTTCGTTTGTACACATCAAACAGCTGTAAACCTGACCCTGTGTGTTCGGCTTAAAGAGGGAATAAAACACCGTCATACACACACTCCACTTTATCAAAGTAACCCGGAGAAGATTATCGTGAAATCATTTGCACTTGACTTGCAATTTGTTGTCGTTTGAATAATAACGAGGAGTTCTGCCTGTGGAAATATATGTTTGTTTGAGGAAATCCTTACACAATTTACATAAAGGTTTTCCATATTTCCAAAACACATTTTCACATCGCTCCGGTGAGACTAGCCGCTTTCACACCAAGTACTTAGTGCCAGAACTTAGTGCCCCCATAGAACTAAGTACAGATCGCGTTCACACCGGAATAAGTTCTCTGGGGGAAGATTACGCAAATGAAGCCGCTTACGTCACTTCTTCTTCTTCTGCTTTGGGTTTACTGGCAGGCCGCAAATCACTTCACGGCGTATACTGCCACCCGAAGTCCCCGGAGTTGGGGACTGGCGTCAGTAGAAGCTGCTGGGACTCCCAGCAGCTTCTACTGAAGCCTTCCGAGTAAATCGCCAGAACGCCGACACCTCCTCATCTCCATCTCCAGCTTCAGGGATTACTCGACACACGCTCCGAAGCCTCGGCGCAATACGTAACATCACTATCGCCAGAACGCCGACACCTCCTCATCACTCCACCGCTCCCATGTTTTCTTTTGTGTTGCCATAAATTAGTCTCTCTGCGTTGGTGCGCGGGGCTAATGCTAATGATGCTAATCCCAGCAAATACAATGGCGGCTTCACAACACTTTTCAGAGTTTTACGGGGCGTGGTTTGCAATCCGCCCAGCCAATCGAAATTGGTACTTTTTTCTCCCCAGGATAGTCCCACCTCTCTAGCAGGCACTACAAATGGGGGTAAAAGTTATCGGAACTAAGTTCTCTTTTTGGTGTGAACGCAAAATTCCAGGCACTAAAGGAACTAAACGGGAAAAGTACTCCGGTGTGAACGCGCCTTAGGTCAACAATTGGGTAAAGAATTAATACAATTTATAGGAAAAATTCAGATACAAGAAAACAGCTGATCAAATATCTTTAAATCATAATCCAGACACTACATGGCAGGGATACATTATAATAGGAATGCGTCATTTAGATGATATGGATAATTACCTGCTTTGGATACCAATAAAAAAACGGATTATTCACAACCTTTTCTTTTTGCAAACCAAATATAACTGACATCACTATTGTAAACGCTTTTATTTCATTCATTGTTCCTAGTAAAGTAGAGAAATATTGCATTTGTCCAAGAATAATTTGACATGGCCTAAAAAACATTCTTTAAAAAAAAGCCTTTGATTAAACTTGTGTTTCTATTACGCCTCTTGTAGCACTTTGAGATTACTTTTAGCAATGAAAGCTGCTTTACAAATAAAATGTTTTATTATTATTATTGACTGCAGGGGCTGGAATCAAACCCAAAACCTTACGATCGAAAGATGACTCCCTCACAGCCACGGCAACAAGTGTGAATGTTTTATCTGCAAGAATCAACATTTTCTTTGCTTTTGGCAAACATTATAATCATTCCTGTGCGGACAAAAACAAACAAAATATTTGTTGTGTGGACTGGTGGCTGGAGAGGTGCCAGCTCACCAGTTTCAAAGTATCTTTGAGCAAGGCACTGAACCCCTAACTCCTCCCTGGCGTCGAAAAAAGCAGCACCTTCACTCTGACGCCTCTCCATAAATGTTTGTGTGCATTTGAACAATTTTGCAGCTCAGAGAAATCCCGGTTCCTTCCACCCTGTTTTGTGTTTTCCTACAAAGCCTGTGAGTGTGTGGCAGCAGATTTCAGATGGATCTAAAGGCTGAAGGAGTCCTTTTGTCTTGTGTCTTTCTTACCTCCCGTGTTGTTGCTAGGAGACGCCGATTCGTGGCTCTGATTGGCCGCAAGGTCCACCAGTCGTTTGGTGTCCGTGTTAGCCGAGGGTTTGTGGGATTTCTTGTTTTTGATGAGAATTTTTCCCATCAGCTCCTGAGGACTGGGCAGAGGGACGCCTGCCTCCAGCTACACACACACACACACACACACACACACACACACACACACACACACACACACACACACACACACACACACACACACACACACACCACACACACACACACACACACACACACACACACACACACACACACACACACACACACACACACACACACACACACACACACACACACACACACACACACACACACACACACACACACACACACACACACACACGCACACGCACACACACACACACACACAATGAAGATGATTATTAATATCCATAAAGGTGGTTAGCTAAAAACATAATTAAATGCATTATGCCACATTCTTCCTGTGTGTGTTACTTACAGGGTATTTGTCCAGAGGGTCGATCAGCAGCGCATCCCCGAAAATAGATTGACAGTATTCAGCCATTTTAGCCTGTTGCTTCGAACTGTTGGTGACATAAAGATAAGATGGATAGATACATAGTTAGAAAAGATACATGGATAGAAATCTTAAATTTGAATCCATCTCTCGGATAAATCAGAAGTAAATAATGAGATTCTCACGAATCCACGTGGTTTTCAAAGGAGAGTATGACGGGGAAAGGTGAGGTCTTGAAAGCACACTCTGCAATCGCTTCAAGCACTTCCTGAAACATAAAAACAACACAATTAGCAAAACACTTAGAGCATTTTTAGCGTATACCTAAAAAAACGAAAGCTAACCAAATATGCAAGTCAGGCCACTTAGGTAAAGGAGAACATGGAAAGTTATCAATTTGCCTTTAAACTACTCAATTCTGAACATATCTAATGCAAATTGAGTACATGTTCAAGCAGATAACACCATACAAATAAAAAGCAGGTTCACAGATTTGGAACAACAGAAGATCTGTTCCAGGAAATCAAAGAGATTGGAAAACATTGGTCATTTTTGACTCCCACGTTTTTTTTTCTGGAGACCTTGTGATGCCAACTTCAGGATCCACTACAGAATTACTGCACCATCTCACACACACACACACACACACACACACACACACACACACACACACACACACACACACACACACACACACCACACACACACACACACACACACACACACACACACCACACACACACACACACACACACACACACACACACACACACACACACACACACACACACACACACACACACACACACACACACACACACCTTGAAGGGGATCTCCGAGGTCATGGTGAAGCCGTGTGTGATGACCGGTTCCTCCTCCGCCGTCCGTCCTTTCCAGACGTCTAACTCCACGCAGCGGCACCCGGCCAGCAGAACCTGCCGGTACATCTCCACCGAGGAGCTGCCGGCCAGCTGACCCGCTGACACACACCAGGAGATTCATTTTATTCATCCCAAATAAAGATGTCGTTTTGTTACAGTAGCATAGGCATTACACATGAGTTAAAAATACAATGATGTGGCACCTGCTTTGAATCTTACATATTTTGTATCTGTTATATAAAAAAGATAGCTTCTAGAATATTTATAGGAAGTCCAAATGTGGCTTTTTTTGTTTTTAAGATTATATTATATATACTCGACTGATCCCAAATCAGTTGTTTTGTTACAACAGTATGTGAACAAGATATAGCCTTTACATTGAAAATAAAACAATATAAAAAAATGAACATCAACTTGTTATATATACCTATCAACAGTAGGACGATATAGAGTACAATTTATAAAATATACGAAGAGTAAGAATACACTGGAAATAATATATATATTTGAAAATAAAACTGTGTGTGTGTGTGTGTGTGTGTGTGTGTGTGTGTGTGTGTGTGTGTGTGTGTGTGTGTGTGTGTACCTGTCAGGTATGTGTTGTGTGAGGAGTTGATGATGTAGTGTGACAGGGGAAAGCTCATGTCTTCAGACTGATCCAGTTTCTCCGGAGGGATGATCCCGTTCTCATCACTGGAGAGATAACTGGAGAGAGCCTGCAGGGAGATCAAGCCTACCACACACACACACACACACACACACACACACACACACACACACACACACACACACACACACACACACACACACACACACACACACACACACACACACACACACCACACACACACACACACACACACACACACACACACACACCACACACACACACACCACACACACACCACACACACACACACACACACACACACACACACACACACACACACACACACACACAGTGAGAATATGGTAAACCCTCTTTTTAAATATCTTTTAGACATGTTGTTGTTTTTGAAAGTATTTATATGACAGAAATACTCAGTCACATGTCCTGCTATCTAATTAAGACGAGGTATACAAGTGTGTGTGTGTGTGTGTGTACCTTTCTTCAGCTGGTCCTGGTCCTGCTGGTGTCTCTCCATCACAGAGTGAGTCTGTGCAGGCCGGAGGGGGGGGTAGAGAATCTCATTGAGGCGGGGGTCTCTCTGCTTGTTGTTGATGAAGTCGGTCATCTGATCCAGAGTCAGCGTCCTGTCACCCCACCCTCTGCAGGACACAGGTCACACACACACACACACACACACACACACACACACACACACACACACACACACACACACACACACACACACACACACACACACACACACACACACACACACACACACACACACACACACACACACACACACACACACACACACACACACACAGCGTATCAGGTCTAAACCCACCAGACTCAAGGACAGTTTCAGCCCACCATAAGACTATTGAACACCTGAACTTTTTGAAAGAACATCCATAAACATTCATAATGTATCTAATATATCATTAAATGTACTTGTATATAGACTCTTCTTGAACTATTTCAATTGTATTTGTATTTACTTGCACATCTCAAAAACATTCTCTTGCACTATTGTATCTGTTTTATTTGTTCTATGTCCTTTATATATTCATGATGCACTGTTGGAGGCTTCAGTGTTTCATTGCCATATCTACACTGGAGCTAATGTGCACATGACAATAACGCCTTGAAACTTGAAACTATTAATGGGATGTCTACAGAACCTCAGAATAGCTTCCATATTGAAAATAGTAAAAAGATGCAGAAAAGGCTGTTTTCAGTCCCTCAAATGTGGAGATGTCCTTCTATCTGTTTTCTATCCTATTTAACTAAATATCCTATGATTTAGACTGATATTAAAACACATGTTAAGATATTCGATGCTGACTTTTTTTTTATAATACTATTACAATACAAATATGTTTTATACTGATTTATCTAGAAATGAATGTGCAGATTAATCTAATTGTTTATTGCAGCCCTAATGAAGACGTTTTCTGTTTGAAACTGAGCAAAGTTGTTATATTTTGAATCATAATGAAGTTAATCCCTTTATGTTTTTGATTTGTTCAGACAAAATGTAAAAGCGAAGGATGAACAGTTAGTGCTTGGACCTTATGGGTATAGGTATTTGCCTATTTAAAAACATGTTATGGACTAAATAGTTGGATATATCCCAGTGAATGATAGTATTTGCTGAACATAGAGAAATAAGAGTTAATACTGTAGTTTACACTTCAAAGTTACAGAGGCATCCTCTCTCTAATCCCTGTGTATAAGTGGCACAGAAGATGAATCATTATTCATCATCCTTCGCATATCAAAGAAATTACCCTGAAGCAAATAACACACTTGAAAAGCATGAAAGCTTGTGTAACAGTAATAAGTATTTGAGCTGCTCAGAGGTCAGTGGATCTGTAAATCTAAAGAGGACACAGTCTGCTCATTCTGAGGCTCATAATGTGTATGTAGTGTCTCTACATGTCTCCATGCTTTAATGTTCAAAAAGCTCTTTATTTCTCTCATACTGCAGCACCCTCTGTCTGAAACCAGAGCTCAGTCTGCTCTGATTGGTTAGCTGGCCGGCTCTGTTGTGATTGGTCAACCGCTTAGAGATGAGAAGTCCCCGGCCGGAAGTCCCCGGAGTTGAGGACTGGCTTCAGTAGAAGCTGCTGGGACTCCCAGCAGCTTCTACTGAAGCCTTCCGACTAAATCGCCAGATAGTGATGGCGAGATGAAGCCTTATGAAGCTTTGAAGCTTTCCAGCCAATTGGTTCGCAAAAGGGTTCATCTCATGAGGCTTCATCATGGGCTTCATTTGAACACAAACCCCCTGTTGGTCAACGTGTGTAAAACAGGCAGATTGGACATCTCAACAGTGTGCTCCATCATCTCATACCGAGTTCCATTGAGTAAAGCCTTAGAATAACTCTAAACAACGAACATTAAATCATATTTTCATGTCAACAATATTGTATTTATTCAAGTTGAATGATTGTGATTGAAAAGCCTAAAGAGCCTGGTAAACATTACAAATAGGGATTTGTATTCCTTAATAATATTCGTAAACGTAACCATGTTGTAGCCTGAGAAAGGCTAAACCATATCAAAGAATACATTTATTAACTACATTATCTCATTTAGCTGTAGCTTTTATAAACAAGAAAAAATACGTATTGTTCAGTCGTTGAACCAGGGACCCTGCGGTCGTGAGTCAACTGCTTTCCAGCTGAGCCACAGCACACACACTGAATATCACTGAAAACACTGCAGCATATTTATTCCTGTATTTATTCATGTTTTTATTCCTACATTTATTTATGCTTGTATCTATTTATACTTATGACATGTTCCGACCTCTATAAGTGAGGGTCTGAGCTCTTTTAATTCCATCGTGTCTACGGGCCCGGGTACAGGAGGAGTAATATGGTTCTTATTATTCTTTCACACACAGTGACGTCACAAGCTACCCACAATGCAACACGCACCATATAAATATATATAAATGCGCCATTTTCCTGGAGGTGCTAATATCCTGGAAGTGCAAATATAAACAGCTAGCTAACGTAGCCAGGCAGAGCGCAGTAGGTTTTTTTTCTGAATTAACGACCGAAGAAATCGCTGCATGTCTTCGGATTACATCTCTGGACTTGAGGGGTGTGCTCTAGGTCGTTACCAGCGTAAACTAGAGCTGTGTGGGTTGTTACAGACTGCCTGCAGATGTATGGAAAAACGACAGTGGCCTTCGTCGATTTTGGCTGCATCTACGTCTATCTTCTGGAAACACTAGGTGAATACCCCACTTGTCACAATAATATTATCATGCCATTGCATATATGTGGTATTTTAGAGTTGACTCGATATTGATTAAGGCAATAGACTATGCTATTCAGTACAGGAAGCTTAGCAACACCTAGACGGTGTACGGCTGCTTGCACCTCGCGTAAAACGGCGCAGACCGGAAGTACGGTGTCGCGCTCGGCCCCAATACCCGTATGTGTGTGTGAAAGAATACATCCATGGGTATTATGAGCGTTGTGGTTCAACGGTTCAACCGATCTGAATCGCTTCCTGAAGCAGTCACGTGGTATCGACAGGCAGCGAGGCTTCGTTTGTCATTGATGACGTCACTGGCCCAAAACGATACAAGCCTCGATACAAGGTTCACAAAAAGCTTCAGGGATTACTCGACACACGCTCCGAAGCCTCGGCGCAATATGTAACATCACTATCGCCAGAACGCCGACACCTCCTCATCTCCACCGCTCCCATGTTTTCTTTTGTTTTGCCATAAGTTAGTCTCTCTCCGTTGGTGCACAGGGCTAATGCTAATAATGCTAATGCCAGCAAATACAATGGCGGCTTCAAAAAAACTTTTCAGAGTTTTACGGGGCGTGGTTTGCAATTCGCCCAGCCAATCGAAATTGGTACTTTTTTCTCCTCAGGATAGTCCCACCTCTCTAGCAGGGACTAAAAATGGGGGTAAAAGTTCTCTGAACTAAGTTCTCTTTTTGGTGTGAACGCAAAATTCCAGGCACTAAAGGAACTAAACGGGAAAAGTACAGGGAAAAGTACTCCGGTGTGAAAGCGCCTTATGTTACGATATAAACAAAGGAGTCCAATGGAGGTATTTAAGGCAAGGGGGGGATTTTAGGCTTTGCAGACCATTAACATGCACAAAAACCTATTTAACACACTACAGGAAAGGCATGGGCCTCTTTGAGATATAAACGTACTGCAGTTTGAAGATGCTGCTGAGCTCAGGACGAGGACACAGGCTCTCCAAAAAGCTCCTGTAGATTTCCGGTGTGAAGTCCTCCAGTTTGATGCTGTCCCCCTGTCAGAAATATAGGACACGGACATTAACATCAGCACATTTTTTAATTAGCAAGAACTGGAGCTATCGGTGTGTCAGCTTCACTGTGTTTCATCCTCTCTCTCCCTCCTGTGAAAAACATGTTTTAACCATGAAAATAATCAAACATTTCTCAACATCTTTAATTTATTTCTTCTCATATAAAACTATGCTTTCACAGGAATATTAAATGTGAGATTCAGTATGAAGTGAGTTTTTCCGCTTTTCACTGGTTGCTTTAAAACTCAATGACCCAGATATTTTATTCTCCACTCCATGCACTGTGAGTCATTCTGGACCCAAAGCATCAGACAAAGAACTCGACATATAGAATGTAAAATGGAGAAAAAAGAAGGCTAGACTTGAAAGAGACAGAGCTTGAGGTAAAATATATTTTTTCTCTTCCTCTCAGAGAGAAGTACCTGAGTGCCAGCCGTGATGAGAGCTGTTTGAATCATCTAGACCAGTGTTTTTCAAAGTGGGGGCCCCGACCCCCCGGGGGGCCGCCAGGGGGCACCAGGGGGGTCACAACGTTTGAGGGAAACAGGATTTTTTTTTTTTTTTAAAGTTTAATTATTATTTTATTTTTTTAGATGTTATTAATAACTGTATATATATATATATCAATCTATGTGTCCTTTGATGCCAATCTTTTAATATTTTTTGTTTTTTTAATCACACAACCGCCCTTCAAGCCAATCAGAATTTTGTTGAGGAAATATTATTTTGCAAAGCACTGGAAGGTAGGACCACATGAAGAGACATTTTCCAAGTTTTAGATGAGTACATCATCTCAAATGGACTTGACTGGTCTCGTTGTGTGGGTGTGTGTTCAGATGGGGCAGTGGGGCTATGACAGGCAAAGAAAGCGGAGTGACAGCTTTGATCAGGCAGAAGGCCCCAAATGTAGTGGCAACACACTGCATGCTCCATCGCGAGGCACTTGTACACATCATTTAAAAAATAAAAAATAAAATTGCAACAGGGGGGTCCCCGCCTGAGGATAATGCTATATGGGGGTCCTTGGCATGGCACAGTTTGGGAACCCCTGATCTAGACCACACATGTGTCAAACTCAAGGCCCGGGGGCCAAATCAGGCCCTTGGTGGATTTAATTTCGGCCCGCAGGATAATTTCTAATTACTGTTAGATCTGGCCCGCCGGTATATTGCACGCACACCTTCACTCCATCCTGAGGGTCTCCTCAGCTCAGAGCCTGAGCCCAAACATTGATGACCTTGCACCCAAGATGAGATGCCAAGTATCTGAACTAGCATCACAGAGCAGCACACTGAGTTTAATGGATGTTTCCTTCTGCACTTTCTCTCTCACGACAACAGGGCATGTTTGGTTTTCTCTTGGAGGGAAATAGTTTTGTTGAAGCTGTTGTTGGCCTGTGGAAAAATGTACTCATAAGAAATGACTCAGCTGCAGATAGAGCCATAAGAAATTAATGCAACTGATTATTTAATGTTATTTTTATAGGCAATAATTGAAGCTTTGTTAGTTCCAGGTTTAATATGTGCAATAAGTTCATTTCAATACGTTCTGCAATAAACATTGAACCAGTCCGGCTCTCCACTAGTAGGCCTACCGGTTTTTTAATTTTGGCCCACTGTGTATTTGAGTTTGACACCCCTGATCTAGATGGTAGGAAAGGAGCTTCAACACTTTGTTTATCATCTCCTTTACCGTAGGATACACCGGACCATCCCTTACGAATGGAAAGGAGCTAATGCTGTCCCACAATTCTTTGGTGCGCAACATTCAAAGTGGCCATTTACAGAAACAACCGATCCTGACAAACGCGGATCATGTGAGTTATGGTGCTAATTTAACATTTGACAATTTTTTGCTATAGTGCTATTTTTCTTTTTAGTTTCAACAATGTGTTAAACCAAAAGGACAACTATGAGCGTTACACTAATTCCTGCACAATTATCTAATACAGTTTCACAGTGTTTACTGAGTTGTCAGGTGTTTCTTAAGATGTTCCTTTTAATTCAACACGTTTGGATGGTGATATAAGTAGAGGAGTAGGCCTGACAAGTTATTCATACAGTATATTGAATATGAAGTAAAAAATATTCAGATATTCTCATACAATCAAACTAATCCTATGACTATGTTAATACTTGTGGAGGGGATGGTTAGGAACTATTTCCTTTCACTTTCCTTTTTTTAATCTGAATTCAAACCTTGGTAATGAAGCCATATGATTTAAAAAAAACTTGATGAAAACAACCTGGGGTGAATTATCTACATACTTTTAGCCCATCTACATAATATAGTTCCCAAAAGCAGATTCAATAACATCCTCCATCATGTCCTGATGGAATCTCCTTCACATCCTTTCCTTAACCCCATGATGTTTGTCACATAGGTAAGGGAAAGGTGGTAAGGAAAAGACATAGGGACTTATGTGTATCCACAGTTTTCTGCTGAAAATAACATTAAAGAAATGTATTGAAGTGTTTACCCGTCCGTAGGGCAGCTTGCAGTTCTCCAGAGAGTTCTCTACTCTCTTTCTGTCTGAAGAAAACAGGCGCACAATGCTGCAAAACACAATGACAACACCACATTATCACCTCAGCCTTAAACACAACCTACGTTTTTACTTCTTAAAATATCTCTGTGTTACAACCCCAAATGTACTCCTCTAACTCCCTACATGTCCTCCTGTCACTCCGCTAACTTTCTTTACCGAGCCCAAAAACGTTGCTCTTTTAAAATGTGACTTAAAAGAGGACGTATCAGGCAAATGTTCAGGTGTATATCAGTATGTGGTGTCTCTACTTTAAAGAGTCCTCGCCTGCTGATGTTCAGGTGTATATCAGTATGTAGTGTCTCTACTTTAAAGAGTCCTCTCCTGCTGATGTTCAGGTGTATATCAGTATGTAGTGTCTCTACTTTAAAGAGTCCTCTCCTGCTGATGTTCAGGTGTATATCAGTATGTAGTGTCTCTACTTTAAAGAGTCCTCTCCTGCTGATGTTCAGGTGTATATCAGTATGTAGTGTCTCTACTTTAAAGAGTCCTCTCCTGCTGATGTTCAGGTGTATATCAGTATGTAGTGTCTCTACTTCAAAGAGTCCTCTCCTGCTGATGTTCAGGTGTATATCAGTCTGTAGTGTCTCTACTTTAAAGAGTCCTCTCCTGCTGATGTTCAGGTGTATATCAGTATGTAGTGTCTCTACTTTAAAGAGTCCTCTCCTGCTGATGTTCAGGTGTATATCAGTATGTAGTGTCTCTACTTTAAAGAGTCCTCTCCTGCTGATGTTCAGGTGTATATCAGTATGTAGTGTCTCTACTTTAAAGAGTCCTCTCCTGCTGATGTTCAGGTGTATATCAGTATGTAGTGTCTCTATTTTAAAGAGTCCTCTCCTGCTGATGTTCAGGTGTACATCAGTATGTAGTGTCTCTACTTTAAAGAGTCCTCTCCTGCTGATGTTCAGGTGTATATCAGTATGTAGTGTCTCTATTTTAAAGAGTCCTCTCCTGCTGATGTTCAGGTGTACATCAGTATGTAGTGTCTCTACTTTAAAGAGTCCTCTCCTGCTGATGTTCAGGTGTATATCAGTATGTAGTGTCTCTACTTTAAAGAGTCCTCTCCTGCTGATGTTCAGGTGTACATCAGTATGTAGTGTCTCTATTTTAAAGAGTCCTCTCCTGCTGATGTTCAGGTGTATATCAGTATGTAGTGTCTCTACTTTAAAGAGTCCTCTCCTGCTGATGTTCAGGTGTACATCAGTATGTAGTGTCTCTATTTTAAAGAGTCCTCTCCTGCTGATGTTCAGGTGTATATCAGTATGTAGTGTCTCTACTTTAAAGAGTCCTCTCCTACTGATGCCCAGGTGTATATCAGTATGTAGTGTCTCTACTTTAAAGAGTCCTCTCCTGCTGATGTTCAGGTGTATATCAGTATGTAGTGTCTCTACTTTAAAGAGTCCTCTCCTGCTGATGTTCAGGTGTATATCAGTATGTAGTGTCTCTACTTTAAAGAGTCCTCTCCTGCTGATGTCCAGGTGTATATCCGTATGTAGTGTCTCTACTTTAAAGAGTCCTCTCCTGCTGATGTTCAGGTGTATATCAGTATGTAGTGTCTCTACTTTAAAGAGTCCTCTCCTGCTGATGTTCAGGTGTATATCAGTATGTAGTGTCTCTACTTTAAAGAGTCCTCTCCTGCTGATGTTCAGGTGTATATCAGTATGTAGTGTCTCTACATGTCTTCATGCTTTAATGTTCAAAAAGCTCTTTATTCGTCTCATAGTGTCTGTGCTGCAGCACCTCTTTTCACCCTCTGTCTGAAACCAGAGCCCAGGCTGCTCTGATTGGTTAGCTGGCCGGCTCTGTTGTGATTGGTCAACCGCTTAGAGATGTCCCGCCCCTTAGCCTATCACGTACAATGTGTTGGAGCGCTAGCCAATAGAAGCGCAAGTGTTACATAGTGATGTCAGTATGTCCCGGCAGAAAACAAAGGAGTCCAATGGAGGCGTTTCAGGAACTTTGGGATTTTAGCCTTTGCAGACTATTTACATGCACAACAACCTAGAAATGGAAAACGCTGAAAAGCATAATAGAGCCTCTTTTACAAATTCCTATTGGCAATATGAGCGTCCTTGCGTTCTCAAAACCCCCCAAACGTTCTGCTTCATCCCCCATCTTGTCCTTCTCATACCTCTCCTTCCTCGTCTTCCAGTATTTATCACCTGACCTTAATTCTGCTCATGCCTTGCTTCTAAAGTCCTTCCTCACTTGTATTATCCGTCTCATGCTCCGGCAGTGGTTGATTACCAGGTCAGAGCTGAATTAAGCACCTTCATGAAACCTGTCCCTGTTTTTTTGCTTTCCCAAGTGCACATGGAATTAAGTTTATTTTTGGAAGCAAGGGACAGGAAAGAGCAACGTTCGTTTTGTGCGCGCCTCGAAGGATTTCGCCGGGCTATTTCTCACTTCCTCTGCAGCGCCTACTGTCACATGTGCCTCGGAGTTAACACACAACCATTGATTAAAGATCAGGAAGCTAATAATAAGGATAATCAGGGACTCACTTCTTCACGGGAATCCTCCCCTCTGCGTTCGGCTGGAGAGTCAACCTGACGAACCTGAAACAAGAGAGAGTAAAGGAGTCTTTCAACTGGGGATACACTGTACGTAAATAGATGATATAAAGGTTAAGTGTGTGTACGCAGGTTTCTGTGTGTGTGTGTGTGTGTGTGTGTGTGTGTTTACTCACGCTTTCAACAGACTGTGGTCCCTGTTGAGATTGTGGCTCAGTAGATTGGAAGACAGAGAAAACAGTTCCTCACACCACACCTGCCGAAAGAAACGCAATTCATCATCATCATCCTCCTCATCATCATCATCATCATCATCCTCATTATCCTCCTCCTCATCTTCATCATCCTTATCCTCCTCTTCTTCTTCATCATCATCATCATCACCTTTGCCTCGTCCTCCTGTGAGGCGATGAAGTTCAGCTGGTTAACGTTCACCAGGTCTGAGGCTGTAACCACGGTGACCATGCGGTTCTCCAGTCGGCCAACCAGATTGCCGATATCCAGCAGCTCCCGCAGCTTGGCCTCCTATTGGACGACACAGAAAAAACGATTTCAGACACAATTTCTTCTTTTAAAAAAAAATAAATGTATGTATTATAGTTGTAACTTTATTTTATTTTGTCGTATTTAGATAGATAGATAGATTAGTACTTTATTGATCCAAATTTGGGAAATGTTTGCGTTGCAGCAGCATAAAAAACAAGGCAATGTACAAAAGAGAAACTAAGACACTAGAAATAAACAGTCCAAAATATTTCTGAAGTAGAAATAAAATAGCATTAAAAAGTAAAAAATTATACATGTGGAAATATACATGGAGAAATACAAATGTTACTTATCTAATGTCACAACCATTAACCATGATCCTAAAGTATTTGATATTTGATGATTGATATTTGTTTAAAGTTAAAAAAAAGTTGCTATTAAGATTCAGCTTTTTAAAGTAACTTGAAATTAAATGAACTTGAATATGAAATGACTTGTGTTATCAGTACGTGACATCAACAGTGCTTTAGTCACAGACAATGTCTTCCTAAAGAAGGTGTTACTCTTAAAGTGGGTCAGAAAAATATTATTTTATATTTAAAGTATATTTAAAAACTCAAAACAAAACAGCTTGGCATTGCTGTTTTTAATCACACAGGAGGGAGATGACTAGCTAAGATATCAGTAAATTAAAGGTAAAGAATACTATGTTTCAAACTGCAGTATATTAGTAACTGAGAAAGGAAATATTAACATTTTGTAATGCTTTATAGAGGTAGGACAAAAGAACATAATGACAGGACACCAAAGCTTTGAATGCAACATGATAGTATAAAAAGTAAAGAGTAAATGTCTGAACGTCCACATCAGAGAGGATTATATTTGCAAAGAGAAAGCTACATGTACTATACTGTACTAAAGAACAATACAAGTGAAAAGTACTTAATTAAGCATCCGATGTTTACCTTGGTGTTTTGGTGCTCCTCCCTGTTCTGACATCTTTAACAAAGGTTAGGTCCAACAGCTCCGTCTCCTGAAGAACCACACACACACACACACACACCACACACACACACACACACACACACACACACACACACACACAACACACACACACACACACACACACCACACACACACACACACACACACACACACACACACACACACACACACACACACACACACACACACACCATCAGCTGGAGCTAAATGCTACATCCTGTTTCCCGCAAATGACTTAGGCCCACCTGGACAGAAGGTGTGTGTGTGTGTGTGTGTGTGTGTGTGAGAATCAATCCTCACGTGCTGTCAATGTGCTTCTGCTATTTGCAACACCCCCCACTCCACAACAGTCATTAGCAGTTAGTATTAGTTAGCATTAGCTAGCTTAACCCTCTGCACAAAGCAACAGTAGCAGCCATTGTTTTTTCGGTTGCTATTTAGTTGGGTCTAGAACCTCAATTCCGTGACCATTCTTCTGCTAAGATGTTTTGACACTTGATTTGACATCATTGGACCTTTTATAAAAAATATAGACCCAAGGTCCCTCCCAAAAATCCCGGCAATTTTTGCTAGAGGGCCAAATCCAAGATGGCTGCTCGCGCCATCTTAAAAAAATTAACTTTTGAACCAGAGCGCCTAGGAGTCATGTGTAAAATGCACTTTTTGAGGTAAGTCGGCCACAAGGATTCAATTCTGACATCAGTTTGGTGCGATGACATCGTTCGCGACCCACAAATCCAAGATGGCCACCATCCGGTCGAGAAAATATACACGTTTTGAACGGGAAACATGCAGGATCACGAGGTACCGGTCACGGCAGTAGACAAGCACTCACTGTTATAAACTGAAGTATGTATATGTACTATATATGGGGGCGGAGCTTCCTACAGGCGATATAGGCGTTTGCCTAGAGCGCCACCCAGAGGGGGGCGCCACAAATAAAAAAATAAAAAAATAAAAACGTTTGCTGGGCGCAGTTTTGGCTCTATATCTGCAAACCATTATTTTAAAAAAAAATAAAAATAATCTAACATAAGGGAAAAATGAGCCAAAAAATCTAAAATGGTCGGTCGGTCTAAGAGCCTCAGCTTTAAGTGTTCACAGTCAGAACATGCTAGAGCGCTGTGCATTGATGGGTATCTGTCAAGTGTTTTTAAAAATTGAGCGTTGAGGAAAGAAAGACTAACGTTAGGAGAACTGTGAAAGAGGCAAAAAGCCATCGGGGCGCAGTAATAAAAAACAGAAGAAAAGAAGAAGAAGAGAAACGTGCCAAGTTGAAAGGTAGGCTATGCCATTTTGATTGTATTGTCAACATTAGCGAATGGATCATGTAATCTTGCTAGTTAGCCAAGCCAACGTTAGCTAGCCAGCGTTTGTTATTACCATTCAGTAGAAACTGTCATAAGGCTATTTTTGTTGTGTCATGAAATAGAAATATTAGTAAATATAACAATGTTAGTTTTGGTGTAGCGAGCTACACGTTAAGTTTACCTCAGAAAGCAGATTGACTATCCGAGTCAAAAATTTGCCAAATTCAACCCTGTCATAATGTGCGCTAACGTTAGCTAACTAGCTCAGTGGTTCTCAACTCCAGTCCCTGTTGAATGTTTTCGTTCCAACCCAGAACTAACACACCTGATTCAACTGTTCTAATAAGATAGTCATAGCTCTTGATTAGTTGAATCAGACCTGTCAGGCTGTCCAAATGCTTACTAACTAAATAATAGCTACATTTAACAAATGGAAATTATTCTTAATTTCTTATCTGCCCCCATATCAATATCTAATACGTAGGCCTACGTTGTGTTTCTTATAGGGATTCATGAGTATGCCGCACGATATGGATCATAGCTTGTGACAATGTCCAACATTCCGTGTATCCTGCAGTGTGGAAGGGTTGCAAGCAAAGCCACCGATGCCATTACCTCAATTGAAAAATGGGACACTCTAAAGAACAATACAGAGTTATGGAGCGGTCTTGACAAGTTCGGAGACGTCCATACATCCATCGACTGGGATACAGGTCCCCGTCGGACACTGTGTCATGATACATGTAGGTTGACCCTTATGCAATGCCACAAAACTGGAACAGGCCAACAACAGACAGAAAAAACGAGTTGTCGATGAATTCCAAGCTCAGTCTTCGTCTACGTCTGACATTAGTTTCCACAGCTGCAACTCCATCTTTCAAGCGGCTGCGATCTAGTCTAGGGCTGATACACGATAAAAATAAATGTGTGTGGTGTTGTAAGACGGAGTCGGCAAAACATCCAGAATCAAAGTTGGTCCTGATTTCGTACGATCATGCATGGGCAAGCGTTCAAGAGCCATACGGTGGCTCTGGAAGATGAACTAATGCGCGACAGAATCAACTGTCTGATCAATTATGCAGCTGATCAGCCGTATGCACTTGAGATCAGATATCATCACAAATGCTGGTTTAATATGTTCGTAACTACCAGAGAATGAGTGAAGATGACAAACTTCCCCCACATGCACAATGTCAACTCTCCGTGAAGCTCAGACAATTTTCTTTGATAACATCAGAACAGTTATCTTTATTTAACTCCAACGGCACCTTCAGAAAGACACAGAAGAGCATGCTCGTGCAGAAGCTCTCTCTGGAATCCTGTAGATCTGCAGGAATCATACATCGCTCTTGGTGACATGGGCATGATCTGGAGGATGGCAACTCCATCAGCAGAGGATCGTGGACGCAAGATGGCAACCCATACAAGTGGTCGGACTATGTCCACAAGCTATCATCTATTATCCTTGCAACGCCATCATAATGCTCACCGTATCATATGTGTGAACGACCCGTACGACACAGCATACTCGACGAAGGATGACGAGCGAGACCTGAGGGTACAGGGAAACACACATGTGCCCAACACCTACATGAAATTGGGTGACGCATTCCCACTGCCAGAATGTTCAGACGCTGCTGTGTAGCTCCAGCAACAAGGGGCGGCTGCAGAAAATGATATGCAGCTACCTGACCGATCTTGCACAGAGTGTTGATGTGGAGATTGTCTACTCTGTCGGCTCCCACTGTACCAACTTATCAACCCAACAACCGATGCAGAACTACAGCTTTGACCAGTCTGAGGCTGACACTGTCCTGTTCTCCACCTATGTAGTTTTGCGCGAGTCAGGCTACAGTGGTCCAGTTGTCATCGATGCCACTGATACTGATGTATATGTTGCGGCAGCACTTATCTCACAGGCAGCTGCCAGGTATGCTCTGTATCAAGAGGAGCAGGAAACGGTACGCTGCTGTGACATGGCAACTGACATGATGGCCGACTGTATTGTGCAGCTGCATTGTATGACAGGCTGTGATGCAAACTCAGGCTTTTACGGCAAAGGTAAGAAGTCTGTGTATGACCAGGTGGCGAAGAGCCCTGTTGCCCGACAACAGCTCTCGCGATGTGGAGATAACCTTGCCCTGACAGAGGAGGTGCTGGAGCAGCTCTTTGCCTTCACACGTAGCATCATCTACGGTGACAACAAGAGCAAAACCATGGCTGAGGCCCGTGCTGCTAAATGGAGGACCATCAAAAAGAAATCCTTCATCCGTCTCCCTCCGGATGCCGACAGCTTGCGTCAACATTGCCTCCGTGCCAACTACCTGGCGTATCTGGTGCGCCATCCATCGCTAAAGCACCATCCCTCACCAATCGGACATGGTTGGGAAGCTGGTTGGTGGTTGCTGTCGCCCTGTACGTCACACGCGACCCGCACTCCCGATGCATCTACCTGCACCAAGGCCAACTGAAGAGGGACAGGAAGATGAGGAAGATGAGAGCGATGATGATACGAAAATCGAGTTGCTTGCTGTCCAGAGAGGCGATCATCGGAATCGGAGGATTCAGAATGTAGCGAGGCAGGGTGCTCTGATTCAGACTGATACGGACTCTCAGTGTCATATTGATACATTTAAAAAAAAGCAGAATTGTGTTTCATTTGTGTTATTGTTCAAAACTTGCCATTTCTCGAGGCAGCATTTTTGCGTTATACATGTTGTTTGAAGTGTTCTCATTTGCTAACTAGTCAGTACAGCTAATAAAAGTATTTTATTATGAAGGTTAAGTAGTTGTTAATCTTGTCATACATTCTTTTTCATGGTAAAATATTAATATGCAGATTATTTGCTTATAAGTCGATCAGTACTCAAAAACGTGTGTAATTTCTCGACCGGGGTGGCGGCCATCTTGGATTGGTGGTCCGAACGATGTCATAGCGCCAAACTGATGTCAGAAATGGAATCCTTGTGGTCGACTTACCCCAAAAAGTGCATTTAACACATGACTCTAGGCGCTCGGTTCAAAAGTTATTTTTTTAAGATGGCGCGAGCAGCCATCTGGATTTGGCCCTCTCTAGCCAAAAATTGCCGGGATTTTTGGAAGGGACCTTGGGTCTATATTTTTTATAAAAGGTCCAATGATGTCAAATCAAGTGTCAAAACATCTTAGCAGAAGAATGGTCACGGAATTGAGGTTCTAGACCCAACTAATTAGCTGCTATTTCTTTACTTAGCTTTTATCTCAGTTTCAGCAATTTGTGCAAACAACCGGCACTCTAAAAGGTGTCAATCAATTTCAGGGAAAAAGAGTGGATTGGAAGTAAGAGGTATATATTAACAAACGTGTAATTAGTCTTTGACTCAGAGCAGTGGCGGCGCCAGAGTAGTTTTGTTGGGTAATCTATGGTAGGGCTAACCCATACAGTGGTGGGGCTCAAGTCAGTATTTGCAATGTAATTACATACACGCTATACTCGCTATACTCGCCCCCCTTGAGAGTGAAACGCCACGCGTGAGGTTTAGATTATTTCCCTGTCTCAATCAGAATGGAACTGTATGAAATAAAATGGCACATTTGTCTTGTAGTAAATAAAAAGGGATCACTGTGAACGTGACGTATGATAGTGCACGTTGAAGATCCAATGGGGATACTGAATGGCGCTTCCGATTGATCTCAATCAGTAATGCATGACGCAGACCCAACATTTCTTTGCTCTGATTGGCTGTAGGTCTATTCAAATTGCATTCGGAGGCATTATGATCTGGGGCCTCATTTATAACGCCGTGCGTAGGATTCACGTGGGAAGGTTGCTTACGTAGTAGAAATCCAAAAAATAGGTACAGAAATGTTCCGACATTTTCCGATTCACCAAACATTGCGTACCGGCGAGGAAAGTGCGTACGGCACTTCCTACGCCGGTTTCCCTTTATAAATCACAATCGACTCGAAATGCGGTGCAGCTTTTGCGGGCTTCACGTAACGCCCATATTTGCCTATAAATAGTCAAAGAAACGCCCATTCATTCATTCAGACTGACTTTATGAAGAAGATCGCAGGAAATGACGACAGAACAGCTAAAAAAGACGTCTCACACCGTGTCAGATTTTGGTTATTTGGGGGAGGTCGAGATAAATCATATTGTTTGGTGGATGCAGTTTGAACCAGAGTAGCAGCATGGAGGTCGGATCGTCACCAAAATAAATAAATAAGTGGTCCGAAAAAGGTTAATGACGAAATAAATACACATAGCCTTCCTCAAGCAGTGTGTTTGTACCGGGGACAGGAGACACCCCCTTGATGAGAGACTGTAAGAAGTGATCGGGGAATCCCTCCGGAGTGGAGTCCCCCCCCCCCCCCCCGCAGCAACTCTATATCCACCAGTTAAAGGAAATACAACTAATGTGTTGTGTTATATTAGCTGTACAATTTTACCACACATGGTGTTCTTAGTTTCCAAACGGCATAAAACATGATTAAACGTGATAGTAGGCATATATAAAACCATGCTCGTATCTACAACCTATAGAAATGCAAAACGGCGTGAGTTTAGACGTAATTCTGTCCTCCTGCTTACCGCATCATTTATGAGAAAACATTTCATAACATTAACACAACACATTCGAGGTGGTTTAAATAACTATACGTATTTATTTATTTCTCCAAGTTATGTTTTGTGTGCACTGAGGAGTCTCACAACAGCGTTTGTTCAATCATTTTAAGATTGGCTTTAATCAATTTGTGGAAATGAATTCTTCATATATGATAAATGAGAGGTAACATTTTATTTATGGTAGGCCTATTATTTCCACACATTTCTCTCCATTCTTCCTTCTGCCAACGGTGTCGCAGTTTCTCGTCTCTCCCGTTTGTGTGCTTAGTGCGTATACGCATGGGTTAGAGTTTGCGTGGAGGACCGCACATTTTCCCGTCAAGTTAGTATTTTATAAATCGCAAACATTGCATAGAAACTGGCGTACGCCATTATTTGAGCGTATATCCCTTTATAAATGAGGCCCCTGACCGCGGCCGCGCTGATATTATAACGCCAGAGAATTTCCACACCTTTTAGTGTATAAAACTCCCCCACTACTTAGACTATTCCTTGCACCCCTCTTCTAGCACAAGCCTGAATGGTCTCAACCATATTGCATCAGTAACGTACACTTGTTGTAACAGCAGGATCAGTTTGTGTGTTGTGGACACGACCCGTATATTTTCGCAAGCCGTGTTCTCAACATTTAGCATTTTGCTTATTATTTAATTGAATTTGCTTACTTCAAGATCATTTTCATGGTGGGGCTAAGGTGGGGCTAAGCCATTTCTTGGTATGGCTGTAGCCTACCCCAGCCATACGCTGGCGCGCGCCACTGACTCAGAGCAAAGTGCACGCATTGACCGCTCAGACATGGAGTCAAATTTGGACTCAATCAATGAACTAAAAGTGCTCCTAATCATCCGGCTTGTTCACATTCTCGGCCTACTTTTAGGGGCTATTAAAGACAGTGCATGTGTGTGTGTGTGTGTGTGTGTGTGTGTGTGTGTGTGTGTGTGTGTGTGTGTGTGTGTGTGTGTGTGTGTGTGTGTGTGTGTGTTCATTCAACCTTATTTTGGTCTGTCCAGTAGAGATAAAATCCATGAGGATCCACGTGAAGCGTCACTGGATTCACAGTGGACAGATCCTGTAGAGAAAGAATGAACAACAATAAATACAAAAAAATCCGACAAATATATCAAAGGCACCCATTAGCGGCCATAGAAAATACCACATTATGCTCGAATTCCTATTTCAGCACTGGTGATTTTATCATTTTGGAAGGAAATGTGAATTTACCATTATGCAACATCACACCCGTCAGTGATGACTCACCGCAGGTTCAACCCTAAAATGTGCTTATTAAACCGGGAACACTGAGTGATTTTCGGGACACCAACCTGACTCTACTGGACTAAGTTGAGTTGTCATGACATCCAATAATTGTCCCTGTTGCCGTAGTAACACACCATGACAGTTTGTGATCGGCTCCAGGTGCACTTACTAGTCCGTCCAGTTTATATGAAGGAGCAGATAATATGGATAATTAGTGCAGTGATCAAAACTCTTTATTCAATATCAGTTACTTTGTAGACTGTGAAGACATACCATTACACACACATTACTACATGTGGTTTAAAGTGTTTTATTCCTAAAAATATTGTTTTAAGAATATTGCTAAAGCAGCAATAGCAGGAGATGCATTAAATAGCTGCAAAAAAATACAAAAAACGTAGAAACTAATAAATGATGAATCGTGAAGATACATTTATCTTGCAAACGGTGAGAAAATGTTCCTTACAATTCTCAAATATTGAAATAACTGAATGTCCTTGGGTTCAGACCATAGGTTCAGACCTATACAGTCTATGGTTCAGACCAAAACAAGACGTTTTTTTTAATCATTATCGAAGAATGTTTTTTCACAGTTTTCTGACTTTGTATTTAAAGCAGTTAATCAATTAATCTAGAACATATTTGTAAGATTTATCAATAATGAAAATCATTAGTTGTAACCCAATAAATAATGTATTTAAAGGTGGGGTAGGTAATTTTGCGCTAGAATTTGAAAATACACAACCGGAGAAAATCTGCCCACTTCCTTACAGAGCCCCTCCTCCACACACACACGAACGCACACATGACCAATGAGGGCACGAGATAGTTGTGCACAGATGGAAGGCTGACAGGCAGGTAGGCCATCCAGTTACTTTAGCCGGGCCCTAAAATGGATTGGTTCGTGCTTTTTACAGCGCCACGGTCTTCCACTGATGACATTTTTATGTATTTATTGTCAAAGCACTTAATGTATTCATGCTATCGGGATGTTAGAGCATTCCATGGAATATAACAAAAAGTGTTTCTGAAATAAATTACATACCCCACCTTTAAGCTTGCAAACAAATCAAATTCAGGGTAAACTAATTAACACAACTTCAGCTATCTCTCCAAGATTCTCGGAGCTATAATCTTTGGATCTCCGCACCTTTATTTTCTCTAAGACTCTATTCCCTATTTTGGCACTGAATATTTAAAGGTTTTAATTTGTTTATGTTGTTGAAACAAATAAACAATGCTGCCATATTTCGAGAGGGGAAACTGTCATTTAACCAGAACAGGTTTTAGCTTTCTAGCTTACTGATGTTTCTACTGAAGGATATTGAATCTTCTAAATTATCTTTTGTATTATCCCTGAATTAGAAATAGATGTACAGACTGTAGAAAGCACCAACGATTGAACATTTGGTGACCGGCGTTATGCAGCGTGTCTTTTGGGGAACAGCCGGCTGAGATGTTTGTGTAGAAATCAGAACTCGAGACGTTGTGTGTGTTTCTTTGCTTTCCTCATAAATACTGCAGGCCTGCGTTCAAAAATAAAAACTTCAAAAAAACTCAGAAGATCGTTAACTAGATCCCTGGTTATCACTTGTTGGCCATGGCAACCAATTCAATTTTTCATAAAACACAGCTCTACACAC